TCAGCATGATAAGTTCACGGAGATGTGATTTAGATGGGGTTTTGCCCCGAATTTGCTTGTAATTTGAAATGCACGCATTAACACCTTCTTCATGAGGGATATTAGTATATAATGACGAAACATCAAGTGTAGCCAGAACAGTATTATTAGGTAAATTTGAAATTTGGTTAATTTTGCGGATAAAGTCCGTTTAGTCCTGAATGTACGAGGGGAGAGCAACAACATATGGTCTCAATAAGTCATCCACATATTCAGAGATTTTTTTCTGTAGCAGCTGGTTTGATGATAATATAATCACGCTGACGCAAATAGGCGATGGCCTATATATATATATGTACAGTATATACGTATGTATAGCCTAGTTTATTTCATAATTCTGGACTACTCAGAAATTGATGTTAAACAGGATGCAAACAAGGTAATAGTCGACTTGTTGTCATTAGGAACATTTTACAACATTAAAAACAACGATACGAATGAGAATACGTCATCACCATTATCGTCATTTGTGTCTAAATGTACTTGACAATACATATACGAGCTGAATATGATCGTAGATTAATGAAAAAAGCATGGGTGACCTAGATGTGACATATGCTCCTGCATGTTTATGGATTGACTAAACATTTGATGACGTACCCGTATTCCTTATGGTTTTCGTAAGCTTATGAATCCTTCCTAATATCATCATCATGATTTATTTCTTTCCTAAGTTGTACAATATCAGCAAAATAATGGAAATTTATATTAGAGAAGTTAATGGCGCGTGCGAGCCCAGAAGTATAGCAAATGAATAGTAAAGGACCCAAAACGCTACCCTGCGGCACTCCAAAGTTTGAAAAACAGCAGCCAACTACAACTACGTGACTGTTAATACCTCACAAAAGCCGATAACCATTATTCGCTATCTCGAAACTTTCGGTCACTTAAGTACCCTAAAATGAAGAAGATGGTAAACACTTTGGAAAGCAGATGAATAATCTAATAATACAACTACATACTACGCTTTCATCCACATCAAGTGATTTTAACAAACTATCAGTAATAGAAAGTAGAGGCGTTTCAACACCTTGTTTTCTTTTGCTGTAAGCAGACTGAGCAGACGGAAGATTATTAGTAGACAGATATGATAAGCATTATTTTAAAGGCTGGGAAGACATTATATATTCTATATTGTATATATTTTCGTCTTTTTAAGTTAGGTAATCCACTTGATATTCGATTTAGTTCACTTTTTGGGATAACTGTCTTTTTGTATATTTTGTACTGTTTTAAGAATAAATGAAATACTACCTATTTAACCTAATCACCATTATCCTTTCAATAAGCTCGCCAACTGTAATTGATTTTTAGCGCCCTCTATTATTGTAAGAGCAGAAAAGGTTCGAGGCTGTTGTGGTTGTTGTGGTTGTTGTTGAATATGGTGGATAATAAAGACAACCAGTTTGGATTACTTAGATGTGGTTTTGTTGTTCATTTTTCTCAGTGAGTGAACGAGAGACATAACATTGGCGACGAGGTTAAATCTGGATATACATAGATAAACGCCGATGTATAGAACAGACGAAATATGGCTGTTTCTACGACGTTTAGTGAAAATTTGCCAAGGTTAGATTTAGATGCGGAGCCCACCAGTCTGCCTACGCAGTGGCGTGAGTTTAAAACGGCGATAGGCTATTTGATAGCAACCAAGGGCTTTGCCAATAACGCACAAAAAGAGGCGGTATTATTGCATGCCAGTGGAGTAAAACTCCAACAGATATATTTATCTTTGCCTGATGAAGGGGAAGTTGAGGGCCAAAGGCAATTAAACGCATACGATAAGGCTATTAGGAAGTTGGATAAATATTTCACCCCCAAAACTAACGAACCATGAACGTCACAAGTTTAGGAAAATGGTGCAAGAGACTGGCGAAACCGTAGCCTCTTTTGTCGCCAAGCTAAATAGGCAGGCTACCTATTGTAATTTTGGTGCAGATACCAGCACCCATGTGAGAGATCAGTTGATTCAGGGCTGTACTGCTGCACGGCTTAAAAAGCTATTACTGGAAAAAGGGGATGAACTTACCCTTTAGAAAGCCGTGGGTATAGCAAGTTCGTACGAACTAGTGATGCTTCAGTCAGCTAAGATGACACAGAGCTTAAATGTGAATAGATTGATGGTGAAGCCTACTGGTAATCATCGGGAAACTCCAAGAAATACATGCTGGAAATGCGGAAGACAGGTACACTTTTCAAAAGATAAAGTTTGCCCAGCAAGAGGAGCAAAGTGTAGAACATGTGGTGAAGTTGGACATTTCTCAGTTGTTTGCAAGAACAGAGGGGAAAAGGGGAAAAGGGTGACTTATCAACATAAAGGCAAACAACCAGGGAGAAAGAAATGTGATAAGGTATTTAATGTTGATGATATTGATATGTCTGATGATCATGAAATATTTACAATCGAAGTAAATTTTACGTCCGATGATGAGCCAGTATATAAGGCAAATATTGGTGGCCATTTAGTGGATGTTTAATAGATTCTAGAGGCAGGCAAACTAGAGGCAAAACCTAAGGAGTTAGAAGAGATGGATATAATAGAACGTGTAGAGGGTCCCACCCCTTGTGTGAGTCCAGTGGTTATTGTCCCAAAGCCAAATGGGGATATCCGTCTGTGTGTGGATATGAGATGTGTAAACAAAGACATTATTAGAGTAAGACATCCTATTCCAACGGTAGATGAAGCAATCAGTGAATTAAATGGGAACAAGGTGTTCACCAAGTTGGATCTGAACAAAGTATTTCATCAGTTGGAATTGAAACCGGGTATCTCAAGGGAGGTTACCACGTTTGTCACTCATGCTGGGTTGTACAGATACAAACGTTTAATGTTTAGAATTAATTCAGCCCTTGAGCTATTCCAGCACGTCGTTCGACAAGTACTCGTGAACTGTGAGGGTTGTCAAAATATCGCTGATGATATTGTAGTTTATGGCCGTAGTACACAAGAGCACGACTTGAGGCTGAGAAAGGAGTTGGAAACCCTAAGGGCCAGAGGGCTAACTCTAAACCAAGGCAAATGTTTGCATGCAGTGAAATAGAATTCATGGGACATCTGTTGTCACAAAAGGGGATTGGCCCAGCAGGGGCCAGGGTAAGGCCATTAAGAGAAGCCAGAGAACCGAAAGATAGCAGGGAAGTGAGAAGATTCCTAGGGTTGGTAAACCTTAGTGCTAGGTACATTCCCGACTTGGCTACCAAAACTGAACCACTTAGGCAGTTAATGAAAAAGGATGTTCCATTTAAATGGAAAAGAAACAACAAGATGCATTTAATGCCCTACGAAATGTGTTGGTAGAAAACACACTAGCATATTTTAATCATTCTGATAAGTTAAGGGTAGTAGCTGATGCAAGTCCAGTCGGGCTTTGGCGGTGCTCCTTCAGCTCCAGGGAGGTGACTGGAGACCGATATGTTACGCTAGTAAAAGCCTTTCGGAGACAGAAAGAAGGTACTCACAGACTGAAGAGGAAGCGTTAGGCCTAGTATGGGCAGTGGAGAAATTTAATATATACCTTTTTGGAAGGGAATTTGAGCTGGTCACAGACCATATGCCATTGGAAGTAATTTACTCGTCAAAATCCAGACCGAGTGCAAGAATCGAAAGATGGGTGTTCCGGTTGCAACCATACAATTTCAGAGTAATCTATAGACCTTGAAACAAGAACATAGCTGATTCTTTGTCACACTTAATACAGCAAAAGAAGGACGAACTGCCATTCGACGATACGGACGAGTATGTCAACTTTGTGTCAGTCAAAGCAATTCCCAAAGCTATGACAATGGATGAGATTGGAGAAGCGTGTGCAAAATTAATGATGAGAAGATGCGTAATCTGTATGAGTGTGTTGCGACTGGGAGATGGGAAGGAAACAAGTGTCCAGAATATCGGCATGTAGCACATGATTGGCCATGAGGGACACCCTGGAATCTTTAACATGAAACAGAGACTCAGAACGAAAGTATGGTGGCCAAAAATGGACAAGGACGTTAAAGAGTTTATAAAGGAATTAGTAGGACAAGCGGATGGTCCATGGAGATCGGTAGGAATAGATTTTCTGGGACCATTACCAACAGGGAATTACATTCTCGTCGTTGTCGATTATTATAGTAGGTTCTCTGAAATAGACATCATGAGAAGTACTACAGCTGATAGAACTGTACGTTCGCTAGAAGTTATGTTTGCGCGATATGTCTTACCGCAAGTAATCGTCAGTGACAATTGCCCACAATTCATATCAGAAGAGTTTAGAGACTTCATGGAGGTCAATGGACTTAAGCATCAGAAGGTGACACCGAAATGGGCACAAGCAAATGGCGAGGTTGAACGTCAGAATAAATCAATCTTGAAGCGACTTAAGATAGCGCATACTATGAAGAAAGATGGGAAACGAGAGCTTACACGATATTTAGCTGTGTATAGAACGACTCCTCATCCTTCGACAGGCAAGACACCTGCTGAATTGCTAATGAGTAGGGCCTTAAGGACCAAATTTAAAAAGCGATGTTAGACCAGGAGATTGTGTTCTTCTTCGCCAGGAAGCGAGTGATAAGTTCTCGACAAAGTTTGAACCTAGAGTGTATGACGTAGTTTCTAGATATGGTAATCAAGTCACTATAAGTGATCGGAATGATGCTAACAGGCGTCGGAAACGAAATATTACACAGGTGAAGAAGTTTTATGGTAGTAGACCACAAACAGATGACGTCACCGTTGAGGATACGGCACTCGATGACTTAATGGAAACTGTATATGAGGAGGGTCCAACAACAAACGAGACCCAAAATCCGGAACCGCAAAGTGGGTATCCTCTGCGTATTAGGAAGAAACCGGATAGACTCAATTTGTAAAGATGTCAAGAGTAGTAGTAGTGATTAAAAATGTTGTGTTACAATAGTTAGTAAAGACGTTGTTCAAGAGTAGTCGAAGTGATTTATGATGTTGTTATATTGGTTTTTTTTTTTAAATTCATACACACAGATACATTATAGTGGGTGATTATGTTAACTATCATTATCAAATTTTGAAGTAGATAACGAAATAAAAACCAGCACTCACTTTTCTGAATAAGATTTATTGTAATAACATAATGTGCAATAATAAGGCATATTGGTTTTTAGACTATTTACAGTTTGTTTCAAAGACTTGCAGTATATGCTTGTAAAAGGTTTAACTGTTTTGAGTTAATTTTGGAATTGTTTGTTATGCTATTGTTGGATAGAGTAATCTGAAAAAAGGAGGGATGTAATGTACTCAAAGTTGTATAGCACCCTCTATTATTGTAAGAGCAGAAAAAGTTCGAGGCTGTTGTGGTTGTTGTTGAATATGGTGGATAATAAAGACAACCAGTTTGGATTACTTAGATGTGGTTTTGTTGTTCATTTGTCTCAGTGAGTGAACGGGAGACATAACACCAACAAAAGGCAGCATGGACACAGGACGATGCTTCTTAAGTTCCCTCAAATAAGACCATCTTTTTAAAATAAAGGAAAAGTTACAGCATGCTTAAGACATGAAAATGGTAGGTAAACATGGTTTCAGTACGGAGGAAGCTAAAAAATCCTGAATATATGTCTTCAGTGATTTAGCACAAATAACATCTTTTATTCATCTGCAGATGAAAGATGAAATTCGAAAAATTGACAAGGTTTTATGAGACATTGTATAACCTGAACATAACAACCTCAGTAATAACCCGTTACAAAAACCAGATCTAATTTCAATAATCTTATCGTTGCAACGCTTATTATGAAAATCATCAGCAATCTCTTGTTGAGAAATTTTTTAGGAAGGGAAGCATACTTAGAAATACTGGAAATAAGATCGTCAATTGTTCTAAACAGTTCTCATTGATATTCTTCAGCCGAGGCTATTCTGCCAGAAAAACTAATCCTTTTAGCAGAGATAACTACAGTAGCCTGTTGGCTCGAATAACTTCACGGGCATAAATATATCGCAATGAACAGTAATGTCTGACTTCCTGAATCGCTTTTCGGCCATACGGTGCTCACTGCTGGCAACAAAACTCTCATTATTAATCCAAGGCGGGGATGGTTCTGTAGCTTGTAGAGTTAAATTAGCGATTGGAGCATGTTTATCTAAAATTTATTTCAGCGCGTCATTGATCATACTATAAGATACTGTACGTCAGGGAAATATCAACGACAAACTTCATGGACCCAACATACCGGCATGAACTCGCACATCGACTGTTCTTTGAATACAGTTAGAACTCATCCAGACCAATTCCTCACCAGCGCTTTGTCCAGTTCAACCCCAGACAATAAAAAGTTAACAGAAGGCTGCGCGACTACTAAGGAAATAAAAACAATTTAAAGCTGATGATAAAGGAGGCTCCATTGTTACACAAAGATGATTATATAAAGGATTAGCCTGGGTGCAGTAGGAAATTAGCGGGAAAAAAGTAAAGGAAAATTAATTTTTGGTTTTTCTGAATCAGTATATAATATAGTGTCTCAGAAAAAAAATCCCCATTCTTAGAGCTTTGGCATTTTTTTTATAGCACTTTAAAATTTTGACATAAAATATCCTATTTTGGGCTAATTAAGATGGGGATAGGGGAAATAAATGTGTGTTTTTAGTCACTTTTACATATGCTATGTATATCAAATGTAACAAGAACTTGGCTAAATAGTTACTCCTCACTCTCGTTAAAAAATTTAATCGGAAAAATGCCGTCATTACAAAAAATTCCAAGATGGCTGCCATTTTGGCGGTAAAACTCTTTTAAAATGTAAATTTAACTTCATTGTTATCAGAGCAATTTCAAAACAATATCCATACACACATACACACACACACATATATATATATATATATATATATATACATATATATATATGTATATACTGAGACACTAAGATGTGTATAAGAGACAGTATATATACTATATAGCGAAATTTTGCTCTGAAAGACCCAACAATTCAATTTATATCGGGGAAAATAAAAAAAAACTATGGCATTATATTATTTACCTAGTTTTGCTATAAATGTGAAAATTGACAATAAACTAGTTAACTAGTTACTCTTTACTGTCTTTATCAATTTTAATTGAAATGATCATAATGCCAATTTCCAAGATGGTGTTCATCTTGGCAGAGAAAATGGTTATTTTTGTAAGATTATATTATTATTATTATTATTATTATTATTATTATTATTATTATTATTATTATTGTACTAAATAAAATCTCATCAAAGCAATCACATATAGAATATATATAAATATTATTAGTAATATTTAATAGTAGTATTATGCTTATTTATTATTGTTGAAATCATTAATAATATTATGTATATATTACTGTATAGTATTTCTGTTATTTCAAAATTATATTTTAATATTAGAATGAATTACATTGTTAGTACTGTTATATAATAATATTATTTATAATATTTTTATTACCACTATTGATATCATTACAGTATTATCATCATCCATCATCATCATCCTCATCCTCATCCTATTCGTCATCGTCATCATCATTATCATTGTTGTCTAATCATTATAATCATCCTTACTATCATCGATCATTGTAATCATCACCATCATCATCACATCAATAAGAGACAGTCATCATATCATACTCATCCATCGTCATCGTCCTCATCTTCATCACGTCCTTATCAATCATCTATCGTCGTTATCATCATCCTCATAATCTTCATCCTCCTCATTCTTCATTTTCTTCATCATCATATTCATCCATATCCATCATCCTCATCATCATCAATGGCATAGGCAGCTATTGGCACAGTTGGGACAGTCCCACACCATTTTTCCAATGGGTCCACAAAAAATGGTCCACATTTTAAAGAAGGTTCCAAATTATGTAATTTTATTCATAAAATGGATCCAGATACCTTATATTTAGTTAGATATGAGTAAAATTTAAGAAAATGGGTCCAGATATTTCATATTTTTGCGTAAAATGGTCCACATTGTTTGAATTTACACGTAAAGTGGGTCCGCTCTGATATTGTCCCACACCGTTTGAAAATCCTGGCCATGGCATTGATCCTCATCCATCATCGTCACCCTCATCACCATCCTCACCAATC